CGAAGGCCACTGAGACGGATGAGGTCGTTGGTAAACGTCAGCGCAAGCCTGTCCAGCTCTTCGATCCCGCCACACAGGATGTCAGTCGAAGCTCAACACCTGTACCACCCACTCGTGGTGGTCGTCGACGCAAGAACGCCAACGCTGAGGATGAGCCTCAAACCAGCCTGTCAGTCAGCTTCAACACTGAGGCAGCCTCGGAAAATGAGGCTTCAGGTCCTAAGACCCGACGCAAGCGTGGCACTCGCGGCAAGAATGCTGCTACAACCGAAGAACCTGCCCCTACACCAGACGCCGAGGAACCAGTTCAAGAATCGCCTGCAAAGTCTACTCGTCGTGGCCGTGCCAGACCTGCCGTCAAGTACGAAGAGGCTGATCCTAATGAGTTTGTCGATGACGAACCCCAAGAAGAGGAAGAAGAAGTGCAGGAGAAGGAAGAGAAGCCGCCTGTCCGCCGTGCTCTTGTTACTCTCAAGCTTCCCAGGGCCTACTATAACGATGTCACACCTGAAAACGAGATCACCGATAACGGCGAATCTCGCCCTACCACCGCCTCCTCTGAAGCATCTGGCCACACTGTTGAGTCATCTTATTCCTTCCGGCCCAAGCGACAGAAGCGCTTCCGCGACGATCCCAACGATGCTGAAGAGTTGGCTCAGGCACCGCCCAAGAAGAAGGGTAAGCGAACCAGTGGAGGCACTACCACCACTGAGGTTCCGTCTAATGCTTCTACACCAGCTCCCTCTGTCGAACCGGCACAGGCCCCAAACAACCGTAAGATTCAAAAGATCAAAGTTGTCAGGTCTGGCCAGGATGCTAAGAACGGAGGGACACCTGCACCTCAAGCGCCTCCTCCTGCTGCTGCTATTCCTACTACAGGACCTCCCTCCGCTCCCCCATCTGTTGCAGGGGAGGATGGAGATGATACCCCCAAGGATTACAAGTCCATGACCAAGTCAGAGAAGATGTCTGCATCTATGAAGAGTAAGTTTCCTAACATGTTATTCCTTGCTATTCACAAGCTAACACAAATACAGATCGTTGGGCCAATGGAAATATGGCTGGAGCCGTTGAGAAACGCAAGGCGACCCTGGCGGCTAAAAAGGCTGCTCAAGCGGCAGCCGAGCAAAGAACAGGTGTCGCTGCTCCCAACAAGCCTAAAGGCAAAGCCACTGTCAAGAGAGACTCTTCTTCTCTCAAGATGCAGATGCAGCCTGATCAACCACAGATGCCACCACAGCAACCCCCCATGCTTCACCAACCGCCGCCTATGCATCCCCATCAGCATGAGCTTCCTCCTCACCAGTATCACCCTCACCAGCATCAACATCAGCACCCGCCTCACCCGCTGCATCTTCAGCAACAACCTCCGATGCATCCAGCCCACCCCCAACATCTTCCTCCTCCACCTCCACCTCCACCTCATCAAGCTGGAAATCCTCCTCCTCCTTTCATGCATGGCCACCCTCAGCACCGCAGCCATGGCCATAGCCACGGAATGCCTGGTATGGGATACCCCTACTAGAGGATACGAGAGCACGCAACCGGTCTCCGGACTGATCATCTGATGATGGCCTCGCCATATACACAAAACCAAAACTATCAATCAAAAAAAGCAATAACGTCTCGAGCTTCCGGTATTCAGCCCAGTAGCTCAATGTAGCACTCACGACCTACCACGAGACACGCAGTCTCATCTGGTATATACATACAACCACTCTGTATACTACGGAACAAACAAGAGAGGTTTTTTTTTGGATGCAGTTTCCGATGCACGTTTTTTCTCTTGTACACTAGATGCGAAGAACCATCGTTCGTTTCTTGTTTTGTTTTCAGTCTTAGTTTTGTTTTGTTCTTTGTTCATGTTCATTCATACATATATGCATGCGACTGGGGGGGCTTTGCATAATCGTTCGGCATGCATGAAATGGGTAGCTCGCCCAAGTTGGGAGGTTTTATAGCATGAGAAAAGGTGTGGCGAGCTTATTAGCAAGCGCCTAAAAGACGAATTTTAATGTCAAGTTATATACATCATATGTCTGTTGTCCTATAATTGTGATTGAGTCGTGTGATTGGGGGTGTAACTTGCCTTGTCGATGACTGTCATTACTACGCTATAAACCGAGGAGAAGTTAAATCAGCATTCTCTAAACGATAGTAAGCCCAGAGAACTTGACAACAGTCATGTTATAAGTTCATGTAATATTATAGACCACTTTATCTGTAGGCAGACCGTCTTTCACCTCAACACACCTCCCAATGGCAGGAAAAGGATAGGAGCAATAACTAAGTTCTTCCCATAGGGTAGATGCTGTGCGACATTGGTAGTAAGCGCACGCATATCCAGCTCTTCTGAACCAATCGAGACTTACACGCAAGACTTGCGGCAGATTTCACATGCCGTATTAAATAAGTACCAATCCACTGGCATATACTTCAAGACTAGTACTACAGCCTGCAGGCTTACAGAGGTTCATGCACATCACTTATCATGACTTCACAGGTTCACGGCGAGAAGAATTGCACATAATTTAACCCAAAAAGAACACAACGCCCAGGGGAAGCTCGTTTGAAGTGACTTTTGTTTTGTCCTTGATGTGAATGCCTGGTATGTGAATCATCCTTACACGCCGCAAACCGAAATGCAAGAGCCTTGTGCCAAATCCAGCGACTTTAAAAGTAGTAGATAAAAAGAACATTGCCCCGATTTTGATAAAAAAAACCCTCACCCCGTTTCCCCCCTGCCAATTCTTGTTGGACAGGGGAAATAAATAAAAGAAGTTCTTTGGGGGAGGGGGGGAACAGATGTTTCTTTACCGCGCTCTATCTGATCGCATTCGGGACAGAAACCCAACCACCACGCACCGCACGCCCTTTTGTCTTTCCTTGATTCTCTTTCGCAAGCAAGCACTTTACATGACGACACCAGAGTTGCTGGCAATACGCTGCGAGGTGTTAGTATAGGAACGAGAGTCGAGAATGGGGGACAACTTACGGGCCACAGCTCAGCAGCCTCCTTACCGACGGGGCCAGTGATGGCAGAGCCCTTCATCTCACCCTTGGGGTTGACGATCTACACATGTTAGCAACTGACTCGTCTCTTCTCGTGAAAAGGTTGTACATACAACACCAGCGTTGTCCTCAAAGTACAGGAAGACACCGTCGAATCGCTTCCAGGGCTTGGACTGTCGGACGATGACGGCAGGGTGGACCTTCTTTCGGAGCTCAGGCTTTCCCTTCTTGACAGTGGCCATGACCATGTCACCGACACCACCGGCGGGCAATCGGTTCAGGCGGGCACCGATACCCTTGACGGCGATGATGTAGAGGTTTCGGGCACCCGAGTTGTCGGCGCAGTTCATGACGGCACCGCTGGAGAGGGAGTCAGTTTGGTGGTTCGGGGGTTACGGTAGTGGGAGGTTTCGTACACAGGGAGACCCAGGGTCATCTTGAGCTTGCCACCAGGGGCACCACGGCTGTGAGGGTGAGTCAGTATTTTATTGTCTTGAACATTTCGTCTTTTGGTCTCTTTCTCTCGTTCTCGCTATGTCGAATTTTCTGCCACAATCTGCCTGTCGGTGGGTTCAAGGCTTCGGCAGTGATTATACGTTAAGCCGCTGTCGTCGAAATCGAGTTGAAAAATTCAAGGCAGAAGCAATGAATGTCGTCGTCACTAGTCAACCCAGTGATGCCGTATTTCTCATGATATTGTCGTTTTTTTCGTTGTGTGCGCAGACACAAAATTGGTGGCCATGTTCCCCGCCAAACCAGCACTCAAAATAATTTCCAACTCTTTTGCGCATCGGAGCAGCTCATGACGGAGTAAATTTGGCAGAGACAGACAAAATTCGAGATAGCGAGAAGCGAGACAAGAGACCTAGAGTGAAGCTGCTGAGGATATTCGAGAGCTACTTACGAGATCTTGGCCATTTTGTCTGAAGGGTTAGTGTGGCGTTACTTCGTGAAAGAGGTCGTGGTCGGGTCGGGTCTCGAGATGAACAAACTGACAGTAGCTTCTGTTTTCAGGGCAAATTGATTTTTCGTGGGGGACAAACCCTAGACGAGAAAGGCGGGATCATTTCACGTGACTGGACATGCACCTGCAAAATGGGCCAACCAATCAAACCACATCACTCACTTAGCACTATTTCGAGTGGGGCCATCACCACACAACCACCAAGGCCCATGAATCACACACATTTCTGATATCCTAGATGATATAGTACCAATTTTCTCCTGCTGCTTCCAACAATCGGGCTTGATCCCCCGGCGAAGCACGCCCGGTTAGCTCAATCGGTAGAGCGTGAGACTCTTAAGAGTTCACAATCTCAAGGTTGCGGGTTCGACCCCCGCATCGGGCTGTTCCTATAATTACATATTCATGATTGAGATGTGCTTTCTTTTTTGCAGTCTTTAGTGTCCTCTGGGTCTTTTGACTTGAACTTCTAGCAAATTGCTTTTTGTTTTTGTTGTAGTCCTTGATATCAGTAGTGCTTTATGTATAGTAATTGCAATCGTTGTAGGTGGGAGGGCTGGTATTTTTGTTGTTGCTTTGAGTCTACCCTGGAATAGTTATTATTATATTGAGCAATTCAACATGGCTGGCGTAGCTCTGATTTTTTTCACTGTTTCAAAATTTACATGATATCGTCTTTTAACCAACATTGATTGACAGTGACTGACATTGAATCAATGTTTAATTGCTTCGTGGTTAAAACCTGCAGTCCATGCTTGGTTTTGTTGTTTTGTTAGTTAATGGTTCAAAAAGCAATGTCATGAACACTGGCAGCGCAACCATCTCTCCTCCCCCTTGACAATAACATGTCGTTTTTAAGACTTAAACATGATTCCAGTAATAAATCAACTAAATGTTCTATACTTATGCTCAAGTCATTGTACAAAATGTCTACGGCGAAGCGGGGTCTATGGCCGGCCGGTCATTCGGAGCCGATCCAAAGCCATCACCAAGCGGGACCTCGGCTCGACGTCACTTGAACCGCGCTTCAGACCTCACATGCCCCCCTACAAGTATTGACTTATAGTTATACTGCACATTCATTGGTCATATGAGATCTCTATACCTAGTTACTCCTCATGTCTTTGTTATTCTATGTCTCTCGGCGGTCTCTGTCGCGTCAACTCTTCCGTGACACAAACTTGGCCGCTCATAGACGCAACTCCAACTTCATACCCCGGATATATCTACCTATCATGACTTCTCGAAGCCAATCTTCCTCAGCGAACAAGCCTCAACCTTCAGAGCCACGGCCAAGTTCATCAGTTCTCTTAGTCTCGCCTGTCAATGAGGTTTTACTCCTTCACCGTGTACACACCTCTACATCATTCGCCTCGGCGCATGTTTTCCCTGGTGGAAATCTAGATCCTTATCATGATGGCATCATACCCGCTGAAGACTCGCCAGAGAGACATCATGATGGACAAGCGTACAGGATTGGTGCTATCAGAGAGACTTTTGAAGAGACTGGTATCTTATTGGCCAAGAAAGACAACGGGCTGGTAAACTTGACAGTCGAAGAGAGAGACACTGCAAGGAAAATGATACACGGAAACCAAGTCAAGTTTCTCGAGTGGCTAAAGTCAGTAGGCGCCGAGCCAGACTTGGGTAAGATTGAGCCGACATAGAATATGGTCAAGTGATTGTTGACCGATGACAGATGGCCTCATCCCTTTTACGCGCTGGATCACACCCGCCACCAACACAAAACGCTTCACTACACAGATGTATCTGTACATGCTACCACAGTCGCAGAGTGACATGCCCTCGGAGATGCTAATCCCAACACCAGACAATGGCATTGAACACACAGCAGCCCTCTTTGCGCCTGCACAATCATTCCTCGCCCGTGCCGCCACAAACAGCATCATCCTGTTCCCTCCGCAATACTTCCTCCTAAGTTTAGTTGCCAGAGTCTTCCAGAACTCAAAAGCATCATCAGATGGACAGGGCCCCCTACAAATCACAGCACAGAGAGAAAACTTGCTTTCTTTTCTAAACCGAGTGCCTACAGCAGAGACAGAAAAGGGACAAGCACACAAGACAGCAATGATTCCATGGAGCGAGAAGGTCATGAGTCCTCATAATCTTTTTATTAGACAACAAGACAAGAGAATTGTTCTTGGATTAGACAAACCGGGACCGGAACTCAGGGGCTCTGAGAGAGGTGGTGATTGGGAACACGTGGTCCTTGTTAACTTTGGTAATGGAGGACCAACTAATGTTGAAGTGAGGCGAAGAGAAGATGCTTTAGAAGAGGAGAGAAAGGTTAAAGCTGATGGTGAGAAACTCTGAGTTTTCATAGACATAGAGACTGTCGAATGATATCGAGGTTGAGATTTGCATTTACGATTGATCCACATAACATGATTAAAGTTGCATAAGTCAGTATATCATAGGGAAAGGACGATGAGCTCTTCAAGATGCTCAAAGTTTGTGCAATAACCTTATAGATTGAAGAACTCCTTCCATAAGCAAGAGAATTATCCTAAATCCCGCTCAGAACTATAAATATCCTCTCTTTCTTCTCTTTACATCCCCTTCTTTCTTTCTTTCCTTCCTTCAACATTTCTCTCAACCTTAGGCAGACATCATCAACAACTTTCCAAAAGACCAACTCAGCTGTAAATATCGCTGCCCCCTCTAAAACCCCAATAATGGAGCCTTATTCGCTCATCAAGACTCTCGGCGACATCACGCAGGTAGAGCCGGCAGTCATAGTCAAGAATCTCAGTTGCATGATCTACGGATCAAACATGATCGGGTTCGCAGGTGGCAGTCTCGCAACAACCTACAGACTGTGCTGTGCAGTCTTTGACGAAGAAGGATCGCAGCTCCCAGAAGACATAACCATGAACGATGTCGAGTACACAGAAATCCGACAACATTTGATTGACAGGAAGCTTCCATGGGCGCATGACAGAATCCAGCAAAGTTACCGGGAAACCCTGCAGCACGCACAGGCTGCAAAGTATCTGATCGAGAAAATCTGTATCGAGAAAGACTTCTCTGAGAACACCATCAAGGAAACCCACGGCATCCTGACCAACAAGATCGATATAGATCAGAACACGCCTTGGCCATCCTACAGCGGAACTTATCGTAACTGGGATGGGCGTTCCAACTCGCACATTTTCACGGATGTGGCACAAATACCTAATGCAATTCACAACATGGTCAACGCCCTCATGGCAGAAATAAGCCTCGCAGTCGCACCATACGATGGAATCGCCATAGGGCAGCTAAGCAAGCCGGAAGTCTGGGCCAGGGTCTCTTTTGCTAGCAAATATTGCCACCGATTCGTCAATATCCACCCCTTTGCAGACGGAAATGGGCGCATGTGCCGTTTGCTCCTGAATGCCCTCCTCCTCAGAGTTGGCGTATGCCCTGCGGTTATCGGAGTACACGACCGTGATCGAAAAGTTTATCTACGAATTGCAGTCAATGGCAGTCAGAATGACTTGCAAAACCAGGGAGAGGCTGTCCCTGAGCCACATCTCGAGTTGGCAGCATTTGTGCTCGCGCATGTGCAACCTGGTCTGTGGAGCACAAAGGACCTGAACACATACCTGAGCCCATTTCTACAAGTGACGGGTCGGGACAATGCGATGCTTCCTCAATAAATAGAAGATGGTCTAAAATTATTCCGCCTCATGCTTATTCTGCCGGGTATCATACAGACATAGATAGGCAAGGTAGTTACCCCTAATACACCCCAGTGATCAATATCGACTATCTGGCAACACAGTCTGTCAGTGACCGTCTATCTCAGTACGATCCTATCTACAAACCGCGAACATTCTGGCTCCAAGTATGCCAGTTGAAATCATCTCCAATCATGTCAACATCGTCCAAGCCCGTATTATCAAAGTTCGAGTTTATCGTCGGGAACTGCCCACCCCAGAGGTAAGGGGGTGGGTTGTCGTCCTTGGGGAATTGCATGGTCTGTGGCGAGAACTGTTGGCCAGTATCTCCTGGTTGTATCGTATCTTGCGGTAGCTGAGCCGTGTTTGACATTGGCGTTATTCCTGTACCCATGGCCTTGATTTGAACAGAGCCGACGTCCTGCAGTGGCCAGAAATTCGCCATGGGGAAGGGTGTGGTGTCTGCCATTAGGTCATTCATGTAGCCCATGGTCGCATCGGAAAGATCGAGCGTTCCCGGCACGTCGTAGGCTGATGGTGTCCGAGGACGGGATGGCCCTTGTTCTTGGTTTGGCTGAAGCATCGACGGTGGCATAACAGGGCTCAGCTCAGCTGGCGTCGAGATCGGTACGTTACTGCCATCAGATCGCACCAGAATCTTCCATTTCTCCCTTATTTCTTCCATCTTGTTGGCTGCACCGTCCGCATCTTGCCCAAACCTAGCCTGGTATCTGGGGTTCGTCCTCTCTTCAAATTCCAGCCGACGTGCTTCTTCAGGATTTCCGCGAAGTCGAACAATCTCTGCCGCGCGGTGCCTCTGGGCTCTCATGTAAAGTTTCCTGATAGGCATCACAACAGTTGCATATTCAGCAGATCGCACCAGTTGCCCTGGTCCACCCTCGTATCCATTGACGGCTTCCCATCCACGTTCCACAAGAGGAGTCCACGGCCGACGGCAACTGGCGATAAGGAAGTAGGCCATAGCTGACCAGTTGGTATATGTTTTGAACAGCCACCTAAACTGCTTGGACCTTGAGTCGCTATTCAAGATGTGATTGTATTCGGCAATCTCAATCGCTGCAACATAGGCACGTTCTTTTGCCTCTTCTGAGAGCGTACCTTCGCCTTCGGAGCCTGGGAAGAGGACCGGCTGGTAGATTACCAATGTCATCTTGGCCATGATGATGCGCGCAATCGAAGCTGCCATCCAATGTAACGGATCAGAATCGCCAGTGTGGTGCTTCAAAAACTTCTGCTCGACTCTATTGTAAACCTCAATGAGCATGCGCTCTCGCTCCGCGAGGCTAGTGTCCTTGTAAGGCATTCCTTGGGGACAGAATGACATCGAGGCGGATGATAGTCGAACAAGACGCCTGCCGAAGCCAGCAATTTCAAAACGAACAAGTGCCAGCGAACAGTCAGAATGACCTTCTCTGGGCTCTGGGGCTTCCGTTGAGTCGGGCTTGATATCGGTATCATTGATATTACTCGGCATCTGTGTGTCATAATTAAAGTCTTGGATGATAAGATCAGTACCCAGCTCATCGGCTGATCGAAGATCCAATAAAAGTAATGACCACCAGAGGCGCCTTCGCATCTCCGTTTCAAAAGGACTTAGGTCAAAGTGCGACCCATCGCGATGGAGGCCCATGCCTTGAGCAAGGTGAGCTACCAAGCCGGTTAAAGACCAACAGAAACGACTTCCATCTTGACCCTTGACTACGAGAATAAAGATGATCAACGCTTGCATGATCGGAGTCTCTAATGAGTTCAGGAAGTTGGCTTTGGCAAGGGCTTGCTCGACCGCGAAACGGTACTGCACAACAACATCCTGTTTGTTAAGACCAAGATTAGCTCGCACCTAAGTTTGTGAGTTAGTATTTTCCGTGCTTATAGCTATGGGTGTCTTCTTACCTCGTCAGGTTCCAGGGACGTAAGTGCAGCGTAGTATATTGACCAGACAAGCGCCTCATTTGCAGGAGACAGTTGTTTGTGATCTTTTCGCGCATCCCGAAAGATGGGCTCCATAGTTGGAATGTGCAGCACTTTGAGCAATGGTTCCACATTCTCCTGGTAAACGGACCACAAGAACGGTATATGGGAAGGCAGAGGCCAGTATTTATCAAGATCCACGTCTGCAGAGCGGTAACCAAATATCCAGGCGTTGTGGTTTCCCGAGAGTGCCGATGCGGGCGAGGTGTCTGGAGTTTCGTCCTCCTCTGACTCATCAAAGTCTTCATCAGTAAGCTTCTGAGTCTCTTCTCGTATTGAATCGAGCTGGTAGATAGTCAGTCACACACATTCGCAACAATAGCAGGGATCGACCAACCTCGTCATTGAGCTTCGACCAAAAACCGTGACTAACGTATCTTTGACTTCCCCCAGTGTCGCTCAAAACTAGTCGTCCAAACTTTTTATGCATATTCTTGCGAGCAGTCTCGCTCTGTTCGCTTGTAGCATCGCTACCTCTTGGGCTGTCATCAATCCTCCCAATGTTGCCTGCGTGAGAACCTGCATTTGATGATTGCCTTGGAGCATTATGCGCCGAGGCGTCAAACGATGTGTTTTGACCTGCATGCGCTTCGGGTGAATTGGTTGATGAGGGGCCTTTACCGCCAGACTCAACCTCAATCTGGCCGCTTAGCTCTTCCACAATGCCCTCCAACTTCCTAAGCCTCTTCATCAATTCTATCTCGCGCTGACTTGAGTTCTTGGTGGACGCATTTGGATCTTTTCGGCGCGGCTGTCGCGGCGCTCTTCCTGGGGCGGGGAAGACACAGGGAATCTGTGCTCGACGACAGTTGGAACACGGCATCTGCTTGTCGCATCGAACTTTCCGACGGCGACAGGTTACGCATGATCGCGGATTCAGGGCGGGCGTGTTGCTTCCGGGTAGGTGGATCGGGCTTGTATGGGCGTCAGGGCCTGTCGTCTGATAGACAGTAACGTTGCCTTGGAAAGAATTCGGTTGGGTGTGGGACGAAGCATCTTGCTGGGTATTGGATGAAGGCGATGCTGTGGACTGTTGCGCAGAATCAAGCCCCTCGGGTACATTGAAGCTGTATCCGAGGGCCATGCCCTCGAGGTAGCTCGACATTGTTGTATCGTCGTCAATGGAAGACAAAGTCAAAGATGGCGATAACAATAAATTGTTTACGATATTCGAGAAACGTGGAGTCGATCAGGCAAAGGATAGACGGAGAATCCGCGGGCTCGGGCTCGGACAAGGGATGAACGGAATGCGGACGAGGCCATCAACGTTGGATGCGAAATGGATGCGAAATGGATGCGGGTGCGGTAACGCAGGCTAACCAAACCTCGACTGCAATGCAAGGAAAGGCGTAACGTCAAATCATGCAGCAATAGACAGAGAACCTGTCGTGAAGCCCTCAGAAAGCCAAGAAGAGGCTGAGAAGGCTGTTGTTGTGAAACATAAGGTGAGAAAAGACGTAGAACGTTTGGGTTGTGATTGAGTTGGAGAGCGAGATGGATTGATTGATTGGAAGGGGTGGGAGTGAGGGTGGGGGTTCAGAGTTCCAGGGCACCTCTGATCAGGGCGGGCAGGGCAGGGCAGGTTTAGGTTGTTTGTCGTATTGATGATCCCTTAAAAGTCAACTAAAGTGGTGCGTGCCTTGGCACCAACGCCAGCACTACTCGAGAAAACGACCCGAGCTGACAGCGCCCAGACGCCCTAGACGCCCCTAAAACTCCGGGATGCACGTCCTTGTGATTCTTCGATTTAGGGCGACAGTGCGGGCGGCGGAGACAGACGGGGTTAACACTTCACTCGTCTCCGTGGCGGACAGAGAGACACTAACACCTGGGCTGGACTTGGGAGATTCCAGACTCTTATTTGGCAGTTTCATTCCATGATTATTCATTCATCCTTCAAAGAGTCAGCACTAATTCCGCGTTTGGTATTAGCACCAAAGCTCAGAGTCGACTGTGTCGTCATCAAAGAACCACGCACGTTTCCACTTGGTATAAGTCGTCGAACTTTTGTCTCTGAGGGTTGAATAACCATAAACTGTCAACTTATGGTTAATTCCACTGGTGGATATAATTCGATATAAAGGTTAACTTATGGAATCATTCGTAATTTCGCGATTCCGAGCCTTCCGTTCTACGAGGTCATTTGCCCTCGTCACGGCTGCCCGTTGACCCGACCGGAGAGGGGCTTGCTTGTTGGCCACAGTACAGTGAGAAATAGGTAGTCATATCGTGAGTGGTATAAGAGCGATGAGTCAATGCGTACGCCCTATTGGTAGCAATCATGGAAGACGGAGACCGACTACCACCGAGCTTGTGTTGAACTGACGGACTCTCTGTGAGAGTAACATCCTAAATCCGCTGTCGACCCAAACGATTAGCGAATTAGACTAATTATCGATCTCAACTTAATTCGAGTAAATTCAGTAAAGCCAAGGATATCCGTGGACCGTTGATCTTCACATGTAAGAGGCGCCTGATGAGCATGACGTCTCATAGCAACTCCCATAAACAGAGATGCTCCTAAATCCCCAACCAGGCCAAGAATTAATACCAAGCTTATCAATATCAGAGATCTTTCGGCATTTGTGTACCACAAGCCTTACGAACCCGGCATATCCTGTCTTCAACTCCTTTTACGGAAGTGGTTCATCAGAGGATGACAATTTCTGATACATCACAACTCGGCTGCCTTGCATTCATCGTCTTTCGCAACGTGGGATCGTCTCCCGCACGTCATGATAGTGGGATCGAAGGTTTAAGGCAACCCAGATAATTGGTATCACTTGACACATCTGATTAGACGTGATGTGACGCCAATTGAGAGCTGCGATTGGCAGATCTCGTAGGCCGTCAATATGCGACTGAATCCTGACAGCGGAATTAAACACATCAAAACTTATTCAACGTGCGATAACAGTATTGTCTATCCGGAGGTCCTTATCTCGCTGAGGTAGGCTGCGACTTCACTGGCAGCTGATCTCCTTGATGGTGGGATACCAATCGACGTGTTCTTGTTTGGGTTTCCCGTAATGACCATCACAGTGCGATCAATTGCTGATTTGGGGCA